GTGGACCAGCGGCTGCGATTGGACTCACCTATCTTCTGTGTTGATTGGGACACGACACGGGACCAGGTGACACTTGCTCACCTCTTGCTGTCAACATCAAGGGGTTATTATGGGCTGTTCTGCCAGCGTGGTCCTACTTCTGCGCTCAGTGGGTGGGGCAGACTGCGGTTACATGTGTTCACGGCTGGACCAAGCGTCAATGGATGCTGCAACACCCACCCTGGAAGGCTACACAACTGCCAGCTCACCTCTGACCATCATTGTCATGGTAACCAGTACTGATGCACCTCTGCCTATTGCATGTGTGGTTGGAACACAATCGGTGTTTTTCTTTACAGTATCCTACTTGTTGATTGAATCAATTTGACCATGTGTACAGTCATCCCTCTCACGTCATTTTTCGCTGTCTCACTGTATCGCGGATTTTTCAATCGTACATATCTAATTTCATTTTGTGGATTTTTGACTGTATTGCAGTGATCATTTTTGCACACGGACTGTTACTGCACATTCACAGATCAATAAGCGCGAGTCAGTAGGAAAGAGTCCTGGTTTACATAACTTCACGTCTATGGTAAAGCGAAAATTGTTAGCTAGGTTACCCTACCACTGCTCGTTAAAACGAACTGTAATCCCTCCACAGGTACTCCAAGATGCACTTTCAATATTTTTATTGAACAAATGGTAACAAAATAGACATTAAGCGCAGTCATACACTATCTGTCACAACCGATGCTCAGGCACTCAACATGCAAATTGAGTAATGGGTTAGCCAGTTAACAGCCAGTCAAATCTAGACTCTCATTCGCTGACTCCCACATCACTTAAAAAAAGGCCAGACCTCGTCTTTTAAAGCCACACACTTTCAAAATCACAGGTATTACTTTATACAGCATGAGGATGGCGTACCACCTGCACCTCCCGTGCATATTTTGGATTGTATCATGCAAATTCAATTTACTTCATGTACTTAAAATAATCATGGGACAATTAGTACGACGATTGATTCTTAAAATATGAGATCGACCGTGTCATGCTTGGAATGTTAATTCGTATATAGGAGAGGTAAATAGGAATGTGGGTCCGGCTATAATGCCATAAATAAAAAATATGTGCAGTATGTTCGCTACTTGATTTATTTTCATCCATTATTTGGAGCTCTAAAACATAACTCCCGCGATGAACTACTGTATCTTTGTTCTATTCTATATTAGTTTTTTTTAGCTGTATGTCTCCTGTGGAGGTTGTGGCCCCTCATAGCTGAGAGGTATAATGGGGAGGACGGAAATAGGGCCCAGGGGGGAATAGAGGTGAAGTATGGGGGTCATGCATTAGGAATTTGGTTTCTGTGGGAAAACTTTTCTTTGCCCGACATATGGAGAAAAGATGATTTAACTGACTGATTGAATAAATACATGCATGCTGCAGTAAGTAGGTCTCGTAATCAGTGACTGAATTATATTAAGCTGAATGTTCCTAAGCAACTTTCCAGTATAATGCTGTATGTCAGTCATCTGTGAGGTATCTCTATGGAACCATCAATGTTGGCCTGATTTTCTTTTCACTCCAAGCAAGACCCAGGTTTCTGCAAGTCCACTGGAAAAATGTTCACGTTTTGGCACAGTGTGATTATTACAGTCATTCCCTGTGTTTCTCCCCTTGTTTCTTGCTTTCCCACCATAAACCTTTCACGTCTTCGTAAACCCTCTCTGGTCTCTATGGTAAACTGGAGTTGATGCTTTACACCTCGACACTCTCAACTTTTGTATTCAGGGACATATCAGAGGATTAGGGAGTCTTTCATCGTGACTATGCTGTACTAGAAGGTAGCATGCACACTGAGTCAGCATTTTACGATGCTTCCCAATATGAGCTATTTTCATATCAATGCAGCGATCCCCCACTCTAAGACGTGAACAGCAAAAACGTATGAGTAACTGATACGAGTCCCCACAATTTTTGTAATTGTCAGTATTAGTAGTTTAAACTCTAAGTCTACCCAAAATATTACCCCAAATCATTGTAATTTTGAACTCTTTTTACATTACGGTACCTTTGAAAATATATTTTATAGATGATAGTATTTGCTTTAGAAAAATATATATATTTTATTAATGCTGTATGTCAGTCATCTGTGAGGTATCTCTATGGAACCATCAATGTTGGCCTGATTTTCTTTTCACTCCAAGCAAGACCCAGGTTTCTGCAAGTCCACTGGAAAAATGTTCACGTTTTGGCACAGTGTGATTATTACAGTCATTCCCTGTGTTTCTCCCCTTGTTTCTTGCTTTCCCACCATAAACCTTTCACGTCTTCGTAAACCCTCTCTGGTCTCTATGGTAAACTGGAGTTGATGCTTTACACCTCGACACTCTCAACTTTTGTATTCAGGGACATATCAGAGGATTAGGGAGTCTTTCATCGTGACTATGCTGTACTAGAAGGTAGCATGCACACTTACTCAGCATTTTACAATGCTTCCCAACATGAGCTATTTTCACATCAATGGGGCGAACCCCCACTCTTTCTAAGACGTGAACAGCAAAAACGGATTAGTAACTGATACGAGTCCCCAGAATTTTTGTAATTGTCAGTATTAGTATTTCAAACACTAAGTATACCCAAAATATAACCCCAAATCATTGTATAATAATCTTGAACTCTTTTTACATTACCTTTGAAAATATATTTTATAGATGATAGTATTTGCTTTAGAAAAATATATATATTTTATGTCCTTTCAGCAGCGCAATAATTAACATATGTAGCAAAGACTTCCATGAACAACCATTGCTAAACGAAACAACACGGTCATGTATGCTGCCTTTGCAAATGGTAAAAATATCACTTTCATATTAGCCACTGTTTCGGTGGTATCTTTGGGCATTCTTGAAAAAGTATTTGAAAATATATTTTATAGATGATAGTATTTGCTTCAGAAAAACAATATATATTTTATGTCCTTTCAGCAGAGCAATAATTCACATATGTAGCAAAGACTTCCACTAACAACACAGGCTAGACGAAACAACACTGTCATGTATGTTGCCTTCGCAAACGGTAAAAATATCACTTTCATATTAGCCAGTGTTTCGGTGGTATCTTTGGGCATTCTTGAAAAATCTCAAAAATAAGACAATAATTGCGAATTGGCGAGTTTTTCAGCGAATAGCTGAGGTTACGTTTCGCAGGGAAAAAAAATACTGAAGGTGAATATGCGAGCAGTGAGCCACGAATAGGTGGGGATTCACAGTACGTCTCAAATAGTTGAATTTATTACCTTAATTAGTACAGACGAAGCTCCGACCGATATGGATTTTTTTTTTAAGCCAAATGCCACTTCCAGTATTTGGCAAAATAAAATTATAATAGCGTCAAAACCCATCAAAAATTGGCAGATTTTTGTCCTTTTTTTTGGGAGGTCGGGGGGCGGGGTGAATGTCATTGTCTTTGTCTTTGCCAATTTTTGATCATTTTAAAAGAGCTAATATTCCCCTTGTTAAATTGTCCAGCAGGCTAATTGATTGGGTTAATTACAGACAAGCTATTTATTTTTCCAAAAAGATGCTACATTTTTAACATAATTTTCAGGCTTCATCAGTGATAAAGACAGAGGCTTCATCAGTAAACCCTGGGGGACACCAAAATTGATCTGCAGCTTCAATGAGCAAGCAAAATCAAACATTGTTGATTAAAATGAGGGTGTCATGTTGTATATTTTAGTAGCTGATGTGTGTGTTAATGCTTTGTTTTTCCGTTTGCCATCATGTGCAAATTTAAAACAACATTACACTTCTTGCAAAGTAACACCTGATGTTACCAGTTACATAACCTTACCATCTCACACCTTTCAGTCAGATAGTGTTATTATTACTGGAGAAAATGATGCGCGAATCATACAACCTCTGTTTCTGATTTCAATCACATGTACATGTGTTGTGGACCTGTAAGTTGAAAAAAATAAGGTGCTATTTCATCATTTTTTTCCCTAAAGCTTTGTTGTAATGATCTATCGCAGATGGCTCGTGCCTCTTGACTTCCCCTATACTCTCGTCTCCCCATCCATCTTGTGTACCTCCGCTCTTCTCCTTGAGACGCATCTTCTAACACCTCCTTCCCTGAGCAGGGGAGTCATAAATATGCTTGACAATGATACAGACCACCAGGAATATAGATTTGGTTTCCCTCCAATGTTTCCATTCTCGGCTGTCTATCGGAATTCTCCGTGTTGATGTATTGCTCACAGCTGTACTTTGTCAACAGCAACATCAGTCGGCCTCACGCCGACGTTGAAAGGCTAATAGGGTGCGAGCAAGGGAGTGTTGAAAAGACAAGAAGGGAATCAAAGTCAGACGTTTGATGAGATGAGGACAAAACAAAGGAAGAAAGAGGTTAGTTGAAGCATCTGGAATGAGTGCAAGAAGAGGAAGGATGCAGATATTAATTGTCCTGAAGATCGTTGAATGTTCTAGAAGCAGACCATCAAATCAAAAACTCAATGTGTGACCATATACCTGTAACAGTTGAAAATACAGTCCAGAAAGTGAGTTTCATGAACTCGAGCTCGACTCACACCCCAAATCCCCAATCACTATTCGTGTTGACATCGATCAACTGGAATGGGTTACTCATTTGCCAAAAATCACGTCATAGTCCAACAAAAGAATACTCCAATTTGATCAAAATGATAAATGGAGTACGCCTTAACCGTCCAAAGCACATTCCGTAGTCTCGTATTCGCCCTTTTGAAAACGTTTCACAAAAGCCGTTTCTCAATTTCAAGAATGCAAAGTACGGTCTCGTGTGACGCGTTCAAACGCATTTTGCACTCTAATCATGCTAGCTTATTGTTGCTTTAGCCGTACATTATTGCACTGAGCAGCCAGGACAAAAACATGCATGTCACATTGTTTTTTTCTGTTGAAGTGCGTATCACTTGGTATTGTTTTGTGTTACATCGCAAAAAAATGAAATGAAAACGGAAAAAGGGGGGTAAATAAAAAGCACTTGCTCTGCTAATACTTTGTCTACAAATACACAATGTTTTTGGCAGCCGATGCAGCCCCGTTTGCCCAAAATGTAGTGCGTTTCCCCACCCCCCACCCTCACTGTCTATCACAACATCGGGGACAGGCCGCGCGGCTGCTTACTCTCAGAAGCTCAGAGGTGGAATATAGTTAGACCTGTACTTTCCCCCTCTAGCTTGTCACGTTCTGATAGGCTCCCTCACATTTCTCACGTATTTTTGTCCATATAGTGGGTGTAACT